CCCAGTCTGCGCGGGAAATCGCGAGGGCCAGCCTTGGCCTGGACCCCAGAGCGGTAATAAGTGAGCAGGACCAGAAAGGATGTAATCTGAGCCGGTAAGGGACGCTGGAGGTCTTTAGGTGAGAGCCCCGGGACCGGAGGCAGAGTCCCCGCCCCCGCCCTTTAGCTCTCAGGCTTGGGGCGCTGGTATCAAGAGGCTCCCGGCTAGTGACAAGGGAATCGTTGGGAAATCACCCCTTCTAACCCAAAGGACTTACTTTGGGGTTTCCCCTTGCACCCTGGCCTTCCCCTAACCCTTCCTGCAGCACCTGCTGCCCCGGAGTCTCAATGTGTTTGGACTTTGAGGGGGGCCAGGTCCAGGGTGTGTCGGCTCACCTGGAGGGGGCGGGTTTTAGGGGTTCTGCTAAGGGAACCCCTTGCCTTCTCCCTGAGTTGAGTGTGGAGTTTTCAGGGAGGCATGTGAATCAGAACCTCAGGAGGAAGCAGAGGGACCAGCTGTTCTGCCAACTATTACTTCCACTACTGCTGACTTTTTCCCTACAGCTCCCTGGTTCCTGGGTGTTTCCCCCTGCTCAAGTGTCCTCTCCTGGGTCTTTAATAGGGCCCTAGGATGAGCTGAGGGGTCTCTCCACCCCAACAGAGGCTTCAGGACTGCCAGTTTCTGGGGGCTCCCTCAGAACTCCAGCAGCCCACACTCTTCAACATTTCCATGGAAAGTATTGGAGGAGCTCTTGGTTTACTCTGCTTTCCAAGGCTCAGTCCTCAGAGCTGCATAAATTTCACCTCAAGCCTCCAGACCCTCCATCAGGCAGATGTACTCAGACACTGGAAGTCAGAACTCACAGTTTTGGGGAAAATCTGAATCAGATCTAAGCCCACTGTGGGGCAGGAGAAAGCTTCTTGGGAGATGGATGATGAGCCTGATCCTGCTCAAGGGAAAGGACCTCACAGAACTGGTCGTGGTCAGAAGTTCTTGAGTCTGAAGACCCTTCTGCAGCCTGGAGGACAGACCTTCTTAGCTATGGTGGGGCTTGTTGTAGAAGCCCTTTCTCCATACCTTGTCCCTAGACCACTTCAAGGGACTGCAGCTTTCTGACACTGAAGCCAAAGTTATATTTTCAAAAACTTGCTCTGAATTAGAGAAGTGTTGGGTTGAGCCAGATGGCTGGACTCACCCCTGCTCCTCCTTAGCCCCAGCAGCAGGAAGCAAAGGGGGTTTTCTGGTCTCCCAGCAAAACCGTTCCTCCAGCTTCAGACCTGGCCATGCATGTGGGGGTCAACAGAGTAACTTGCCCACCCACTTGGCATCATAGAAGAATTGCCTACTGCTGGTCACAGTTATCCTTCTATTGTAGGACTAGGGACTCTGGGGCTACAAATAAAAACATGGGTGAGTAAGGCTCCCCAATGTTTAGGACCACACCAAATATGCTGAGATTGTCTGCTGGCTTGGGAGGTAGGGAATAGGCTAGGGATGGGTGGTTGGAAGTTTGGTCTTGGGGACTCACTTGTGAATTTTCTCTACATCCCCTCCCTCCCTAAGTCCAGAGTGAGTCAGGTGTCTGAGATGTCCCATCAGACCACTTTCATTTCCCTTGGGGCTGGGTGGAGGCTAATATAGAAAGAGGAACTGAGCCACAGTCTTCTGAGGCCTGGGGGCAGGGCTGGGAGCCTTGCTATCCTCCTTGTCCCGGTCTGTCCTTACTCTGCTTGGGTCCCTTGTAGCTGAGCTGGGCACTGCTCTGAAACCTGCAGAAAGACGCCCTGGCAGTCTCGAGGTGGAATGTAGCAGCTGCAACCCAAAACAGTACTAGGAGAGGAACTTCAGGGGAAACTGAGGCTCTGTACCGCAAGGCCCAAGCGGGCCTGGAATGACAAAGGGTCCAGCTCAGCCCTTTGTTTCTTACTTGCTGAGCAACATTCCCCTCAGAGTCCAGTTGGTATGATGGCTCTCTCCTTTTGGTCACTGACCCTGGGGTTACAGACTTTGGGGCAAGCAACGGAGAAAAACTGACCAGGAGCAGGAAGGGGCTCCAGATTGTGAAGAATTTCAGTTTCTGGGTTGGGAGGGGGTACAAACAGGTGGAAAGGAGGACACTTCATGTGTCCTGTTGACCTGACTCCAGTGAGGCAGAGACTGGGGCCCAGGTACCCACGGGGAATTGTGAGATCTTGGCTCTGTACTTCCTGCATCTGTGTGCAGTACAAGCCTGCACACCCTAGGGGCTTCCTAAACGCTGAACAAACGTGTATCCAGTGGAAGATGGGGCAGGAAGAAGTAGCTAAGAAATGGATGGCTTTAGAGGGGTCAGATGTAAGCTTAATGGCCACCAGCCTTGCTGGAGGTAGATAGGTTGATGGGATTTCTCGGAAGAGATCAGGGTGAAGGGATCCTTCGTCCCTGAGGATAACTGAGAACAGATGCTCTGAGAAGTAGGTGTGGAAACCTTCCTTTCACTCATATATTCTATTTTTTTGTCTAAGGCCAGATTTCCTAGAAACCTGAGATGGAATTCTTATATAGAGGATTTGTTGAGGGGATTCCTAGAGGAAAGAGGGTGAGAAAAACAGGGAGCGGGGAGAAGCTGAGGAGAAGCTGAGCAAGGATGGAATGGATCAGTTATGGTGGAAACGTCAGATCCTGTGGGAGCCCTCACACCTGTTGGCCCACCTGTAAGCAAGGGAGCCAGGCTTTGTCCCAGGTATCAGGCAGCTGTTAGCTGTGGAATGAGGAGTGCCCTCACCTGTGAAGGGAGGCAGCTGAGAGCCAAGGGGCAACTAGGTTCTGTTATGTTAGCAGTTAGAGAAGGGAAGCCCCAGCTGGGTGCAGAGTCTGGTGTGGCTGCCCACAGCATCCCCTAGTGTGAAATCACTTCCTTCCTTTCCCTCTGGACACAAAGCACAGACTCAGTGACTCTGTGACAAGAAAGCCAAGATTTGGAAAGGAGAATTGGCCTTGAACACCTGGATGGACTGGAGAGACTGTCTATCCCTCCAGGCTCCCCCCACCTAGGGCAGGGAGCGTCCAGCTGCCGATCTGCTGAGCTCCCTCTTGCTTTCTCCTGCAGACCCCTTTGCCATGAACCAGCCAGCCCCTGGGGCTCCCCCGCCACCCCGCCGGGTGCGGCTGAAGCCCTGGCTGGTGGCCCAGGTGAACAGTTGCCAATACCCAGGACTTCAGTGGGTCAACGGGGAAAGGAAATTCTTCTACATCCCCTGGCGCCATGCCACCCGGCATGGTCCCAGCCAGGACGGAGACAACACCATCTTCAAGGTAAGGGTTGGGCAGGGTGCTGCCTGGACCTCTAAAGCCACCCCCACCCCTAGGAAGAGGACACACACAAACACACACAAATCTCCTCAAGGCTGGCCAGTCTTCAGCTGCCTTGCCAAGGTGACACCAGGCTTAGACTGGGGACATAGGAGCTGGCAAAATTGTACAAGCCTCCATTCCTAACAACTTGGGAGGCTGAGGCAGGAGAATCTCAAGTTTGATCCACCCTGTCTCAAAATAAAAAATATCAAAGGTCTGGGGATGAAGCTCAATGTGAGAGTACTTCTGGGCTCAATTCTAAGTACCACAAGGAAAAAAAGGAGGCAGCAAGGGGGAACATAGCCATAGGGTTACCTTTTCTAACCTGTGCCTCAGAGCAAAGTTGGGACCAAAAGTCCCTGGGAAAGCCTCTAGTGACTTCTACCTACCCCTGGTTCTAGCCTCATGCCATTAACCAGGAGCACACATTCAGTATACATAGAATTGGAGGTTACCAATTCATCCATAATCTTAATGCTAGGAAGTCCCCATTATCATTTTTATAATAGAAAATATAATAGGATAAGATCATGGCATTTGCAGGGAAATGGGTGGCATTAGAGCAGATTATGCTAAGTGAAGTTAGCCAATCCCAAAAAAACAAACGCCAAATGTCTTCTCTGATATAAGGCGGGTGACTTAAAATGGGGTTGGGAGGGAAAGCAAGGGAGGAAGATTACCTCTAGATAGGGAATAGGGGTGGGAGGGAAAGGGAGGGAGAAGGGGAATAGCATGGATGGTGGAAGGAGACCCTCATCATTATATAAAATACATGGATGAAGATGTGAATTTGGTGTCAACATATCTTATATATAATCAGAGATATGATAAATTATGGTATAATGCTATATTAAGAATTGTAATGCAAAAATAAATAAAATATAATAGGTTTTTTAATAGAAAATATAACTGCTGATAATTTCCAGTTTTCTATGTGTATATGTAATGCAAAATTAGAATCAAGCCATATATTATTTTATAACTTACAAATCTTTTTTCTTTCTTGTTATTTTATTTTTGTGGAACTAGGGATTTAACTCATACCTCAAGTGTGCTAGGCAAGTGTTCTACAACTGAGCTGTGTCCCTAGCCCCTCCTTTTATAAAAGAATTGTATTTTGAGACAGGGTCTCTTTAAGTTGCCCAGGTTGGCTTGACTTGCAATGTTCCCATCTCAGCCTCTGGAGTAGCTAGTAGGTATTATAAGCATGGGCCAGAGCACCCAGGACCTGGACCATTTTCCCCCAACATCAGAACTAGTTTTCCTTTCCAAAATATGCCCACATCACTTGTAGTGACTGTTGAATATTCCACTGGAAAGATTTAGCATCCAACACCAATTTTTGTACTCTTCAGGCTGCTTTTCGTATTTCAGTGTTGAAAACCACGTTTTCTTTTTTAAATTTTTTATTGTTGGTTGTTCAAAACATTACATAGTTCTTGATATATCATATTTCACACTTTGATTCAAGTGGGTTATGAACTCCCATTTTTACCCCATATACAGATTGCAGAATCACATCAGTTACACATCCATTGATTTACATATTGCCATACTAGGAAAACCACGTTTTCATCTAGACTTTCTTAAGTCCTAACCTTTAAATGGTTTCGTTGGGGATAGTTACTGGAACTTTGGGGATAGTTCTGGGTCAAAGAGAATGCTTATTTTTAAAACTTGGATACATGTTTCTTTTTTTTTTTAAAGAGAGAGTAGGGGAGAGAGAGAGAGAGAGAGAGAGAGAGAGAGAGAGAGAGAAAATTTTTTAATATTTATTTTTTAGTTCTCAGCGGACACAACATCTTTGTTTGTATGTGGTGCTGAGGATCGAACCCGGGCCGCACGCATGCCAGGCGAGCGCGCTACCGCTTGAGCCACATCCCCAGCCCCTGGATACATGTTTCTTAATATTTGTACCTGAACTTCCCTTTTCAGAGTTCTTTTTCAAATCCATTTCTTATTTTTCAATATATAACAGTTACATAATTCAAAATGAAAATGGTATAAAATGATTTACAGCAAAGTCTCCCTTGCACCCTTGTCCCAGCTATCCACTCCACTCCCTAGAGGCAATAGTTTTATCAGATTCCATGTTTTGTTTTAGTACCAGGAATTGAACCCAGGGCCGCTCAACCACTGAGCCATATCCTCAGCCCTTTTTTTGTATTTTATTTAGAGACAGGGTCTCACTAAGTTTCTTAGGGCCTCACTAAGTTGCTGAGGCTGGCTTTGAACTTGCAATCCTCCTGCCTCAACCTCAGATTCTTGTTTATCTTTCCTGAGAGATTTCCGTGCAGACAAGCAAAATACCACCTATCTTTTCCCAGCTTTTCACAAAAATGCTAGCGGTATACATACTGTCTGCACTTCATATTTCTTTAAGATCAATCAGTGTATAAAAAGTTCCCTCCTTTCTCTTCCTGCATATTCAATTCTCTGAGCTGATCATAATTTAACCAGCTAGACATAATTTAACCAGCCCCCACTATGGACATTGGATATCACAGATCATTTGCTTTTACAAATAGTGCTACAGTGAATAAGCTGTATGTATAAAATTTTGTGTTAAGTCTAATTTTTTCTTTGGTACCTGGGATTGTGGGTGCTTAGCCACAGAGCTGTATCCTCAGCCCTTTTTATTTTTTATTCTGGCCTCAATTCTGGGTACCACAAGAAAAAAAAAAAAAGGAAGGGGGAATCTTGCTAAGTTGCTTAGGGCCTTGCTAAGTTGCTGAGGCTGGTTTTGAACTTGAGATCCTCCTGCCTCAGCCTCCTGAGATTACAGGCATGCACCATTGTGACTGGCTAGTCTATATAATTCTATAGAAACCCAGTTGCTGGGTTTGAGGGTAGAAACTTTTGTAATCCTGACATCACCAAATTGCCATCTAAAATAATAGTAGCAGCTGGGGGTGTAGTTCAGTGATAGACCTTAGCAAGCATCCTCAACATCACCATCAGCAGCAGCAGTAGGAGCAGCGTACCAATAGCTGAAGCACATCCATCCCATTCTATATAAAGGCACAGTTTTGAGTACTTTATGGGCATTGACTCTTGGAGCCCTCACTGATACCCTGTGAATAGGTATTATGAGGAGGATGAAGCAAAGAGAGGCAGAGTGACATGGCAGGTGGCACATGCTGGTTTCGATACCAGCCTGGCTCCAGATTATGTACCCATATCCACCATGTAACTTTGTCCTATGTAGAAACTATACCTCTTTGCCCTGCTAGGAGCAGTGAATCGTGGATACCCCTTAAAGCTTGCGGGGTTTATTGAGCTTGTTGGAACCCCAAGAGAAGGACTATTTCACATCCACTTGTTGCAGATGAGTCCCTCAGCTCAACAAGGCTCAGCCTATGGCCACAGATCTCAGCAAGGACTCCTATAGGACAGGAAGGTAGAGAAAAGGATAGCTGGGGCTTCAAGGAGTGAGGTTCTCCATGGTCAACTGTCCTCTCTTCCTGTCCCAGGCCTGGGCCAAGGAGACGGGGAAATATACTGAGGGGGTGGACGAGGCTGATCCAGCCAAGTGGAAGGCCAACCTGCGCTGTGCCCTTAACAAGAGCCGGGACTTCCGCCTCATCTATGATGGGCCCCGGGACATGCCGCCTCAACCCTACAAGATCTACGAGGTCTGCTCCAATGGCCCTGCTCCCACAGGTACCATGCCTGGTCCTGTATGGACCACCTGGGAGGCTTACTGTGAATGTAGGAAGGCCCAGGGCCCTTCTAGGACATGGTGCTGGGGCTTTGCAAGGTCATTACTCCAGGGCTTGGAATGGATTCAGGGGCCCAGATGGTTCTTCCTCACCACCGCCATTGTTCTGGGCTCTTGGCGTCAGGGGAGAGGTCCCTACCAGTTCCTGGTGGTGGTGCCTTTCATCTCATCCTGTGTTTGGATAGCTTTGGGGAGGGCAGAAGGCCCAGCAGGGCTTTTGGGAAACCTCTCAGGCTGCCCAAATGGAGCCTGGATGTCCCAACTCCTGCATTGTCACTGATTCCCCTCCTGTCCTTTTCTCTCCCTTGCTGTGCAGAGTCCCAGCCCACTGAGGATTATAGTGTATGTACAGAAGAAGAGGAGGAAGAAGAAGAGGTGCGTGGGGGCAGGGCAGTGAGGAGGTGGCTGCATCCAGCTGCCTGCACTGACCACTGACCGACGAGATGGGCTTTGCTGCCCTCCCCTATTTTAGGGTTGAGCGGTCCCTTCCTCTGGAGCCCATGGCCCTCTGCGGCTCTTTTTTATTTTCTTGGGGATCTGAAGGACAGGAACAGAGTGCCTACCTTGTCCCTCCCTGGGCTGTGTTGTTACACAGCATGTCACATTGACTGATTGACCCTCATAAAGGTTGGACTCTCTGGAGGTAGGGTCTGGCCTCAGCTGAGCTGAAGAAAGGAGGGGACAGCCTTGTGCTTCTCCAGCCTTATTTTCTCAGCATCAGAACAGTTTAATAACCTGCCTTCCTTTCTCTCTGCCTTCTTCTCTTTTGCCCATGTCTTCTCTTTAGCTCCAGAGGATGTTACCAGGCCTGAGCATCACAGGTGGGGCTTGGAGGTAGTACGGTTGGGGGTCTAGCATAAGAAGTGACAAGTACCATAGGTACTTGGGAGGGGGCTGAAAGGAGGCTGAGGGTTGGCAGGAGGTGGGAGTTGGTGGGCCTGGGAGGCATTTTCTAGAGGTGGCTTTAATGGCTCTGTCCACCCCACTGTCTGTAGAAACAGTGCAGCCTGGCCCCCCAATGGCATCCTATTTACCCAAAGAAGATGCCAAGTGGTCACCAGCTCTCCAGCCACCTGTGGGGCTGGGTCCCCCAGCTCCAGCCCCCAACCTCCTGGCACCTCCTCATGGCGACGCTGCTGGCTTTGGGCATCTTCTCCCTGGGGTCCTGCCGAACGTGGAGCCTGGGCCCCTGGATGCCAGCCTGCCCCCTACAGGAGAGCAACTCTTGCCTGACCTGCTGATCAGCCCCCATATGCTGCCTTGTAAGGAACCTGGGTGTGCTGGGGGTGGGTACAGTGCTGGAGATTGTGGTAGAGCTGGCAAGGAAGGTGGAGGATGACGGGAAAGAACAAAAGTATGTATGCCAGCCCCGCGGGAAGCTGGGAGGGAGAAAGTGAGAGAGCCGCTGAGGTTGGGCTTGTTCCTGGCTGCAGAACAGGTGGGGAGGCTCATGGCTGGGGTGGCCTGCCCCTCTGCCCCACAGTGACAGACCTGGAGATCAAGTTCCAATACCGGGGGCGGCCACCCTGTGCCCTTACCATCAGCAACCCACAAGGCTGCCGGCTCTTCTATAGCCAACTGGAGGCCACCCAAGAGCAGGTGGAACTCTTTGGCCCTGTGAGCCTGGAGCAAGTGCGATTCCCCAGCCCTGAGGACATCCCCAGCGACAAGCAACGCTTCTACACCAACCAGCTGCTGGATGTCCTAGACCGAGGGCTCATCCTCCAGTTGCAGGGTCAAGACCTGTATGCCATCCGTCTCTGCCAATGCAAGGTGTTCTGGAGCGGGCCCTGTGCCACAGCCCATGGCTCAAGCCCCAACCCCATCCAGCGGGAGGTCAAGACCAAGCTCTTCAGCCTGGAGCAGTTTCTCAATGGTGAGACTCCACAAGTTCCTCCTGGCTGCCTCTCCCCCAGGGCATGGTTCTAGCCTCTGACTAACTAGGTGTCTTGATCTTAATGCAGAGCTCATCCTGTTCCAGAAGGGCCAGACCAGTGCCCCACCACCCTTTGAGATTTTCTTCTGTTTCGGGGAAGAGTGGCCTGACCGAAAACCCCGAGAGAAGAAGCTCATTACTGTACAGGTGTGCCCCTCAGCCCCACTGCCTTGGCTTGAGTACTGGCGCATACAGGGCTGGCCCTTGACCCAGGGTGGGGGTCAGGGCTCTCTGGGAGGTAAGAACTTGGTTGTCAAGAAATGACCAAGGCTCAGGGCTGGAGGAGGCAGTCTACCACTTTCATGCCCAGTGGGATCTGGCAGCCCTGCCACTAGTTTTCTCTCTTCTTTGTCTCCCAGGTCGTGCCTGTTGCAGCCAGGTTGCTGCTGGAGATGTTCTCAGGGGAGCTTTCTTGGTCAGCTGACAGCATTCGCCTACAGATCTCAAACCCAGACCTCAAAGACCACATGGTGGAGCAGTTCAAGGAGCTCCATCACATCTGGCAGTCTCAGCAACAGCTGCAGCCTGTGGCCCAGGCCCCTCCAGTGGCAGGCCTTGGTGCTGAACAAAGGCCCTGGCCCATGCACCCAGTCAGCATGCAATAACAGGGCTGCAAATACTGGCTGGCCCAGGTTTCCTGGGTGACTATGTAGACTGATCAGCTGTGATAGCCCCAGAAGGCCTGGCTGGCTGCAAGGTCCTACCTCTGGGTCTCCTGAATGTGGATTTGGGCCAAGTACAAAGAAAGGCCTAAGCACCAAGTTCTCTCTGCAAAGCTCTGCTTTAAAAGGGCTCCATCTTCTTTGGCCTAACCCTATGTTCATTCTAGCTCTGAAGAAACTCAGCCAGCAGCCAAAAGAGCAGGAAAAGAACACCTCCAACCTTGGGGGCCTAGTTATTGTTGCCCCCCACCCCTTTTTTTGGCAAAAGAGCCAAGAAGTGTTGTGGGTCAAGTCCCTCAGCAAGGCCTCTGCTGGGCATGGGCCTGATTTGGGGGTTCCCCAGTTTGAGTGTTGCTTCCTCTTCTTTCTTCTTCCTGAGATGGATATGATGAGCCTTTGTGTTACTGGATACTTAAGGTTGGCAACTACTCCCCCTTTTCCAGAGTTTAAGAACCTGGGGTAGAAAATATAATTTTATGTATTTTTGGATTAAAAAAATGTTAAAAACAGACTGAGCTGTTTTTCTCTAGTGCCTGACTTCCATGCTGTTCTACCAGACCCTCCTTTGGATGCTAGCTGGCTGTCCCCCCCAGCACCTGCCCTCTGGCCCATGCTGGCATGGGATGGCCTGCTTTCCAGGAGGAAGCTGGCTGAGGCAAGGTATGCAGTCTAAAATCCTGTCCCAATCAACTTTCCCTTAAGAAGTGGTGAAAAAGGGAGGCCTGGGATTCTAGCTACATTTGGGACCAGTTAGTCTCTTATCCTCATGTATATTCATATGCTATTAGATAATGTTGTTTGAATATGAGATAGCTCATGAGTATAATTTTCTGGACTGACAATTTATTGTTTTATCATGCAAAATTTTAAACATTTTTGAAAATTGGAAGGATAATAGAAAATTCCCATGTAGCAGCTTCAATAACTATCAGTTTATAATCAATCTTTCTTATCTAAATTTCCATCCATACTCCACACCAAGATAATTTTGAAGCAAATCCAGAAAATAACATTACACGTGTAAATATTCAGCATGTGTCTTTAGCCCCATGTATGCTAGGCCAGCACTTTACCATGAGCTACACTCAAGGAACATTCTGGAAAAGGAAAAAAAAAAAAAAGAGTACATGGCTGAGGATATGGCTCAAAAGAGAGTATATGATTTACACTGCTGCTTGTTGACTTTAACTACCAGTAGTTCTTCCACAGTAAAGTCCACTCCCAACCCCTGCTTTTTTTTGGTGCTGGGAATTGAACCCAGGGCCTTGTGCATGCGAGACACTCACTCACCAACTGAACTGTATATCCCCAGTCCAACCCCCTGCTTTTCTATATTGTCATACATATGGTGTTTTCAGAATTATTAACCTGTACCCCCTTAAGAAACTTTACCTAGGTCCTCAGTCTGCAGTCATTTACAAAGGTTAGCACCTTTACTGCCCACTGGTCTGTACCATTCTATTTCCTCTCGACAAGCTTTAAGCTTTGGAGATGTCCCATATTTGCCAACCTCTCTCAAACAACTGACAAATATGGAAATGCTGTCTCACATTCCCTGATGGTATTACTCAGCTAAATTTAGTCAGGGAATGTTCTCCCAGTTTAATATAGTCCTTGTCTCTGAAGGCAGCCCTTGGTGTCTTGGAGAGTAGGGAGACAGAGTAGATGAATTAAGGAAGCTTGGAAGAACTACATGCTTTATATAAACACTGGTAGTCCAGTACTACTTATATCTTCCTTGGCTTTCTACTTTCTTTTCAATTTCTTAAAACAAAAATGAAAACACTAGGCCAGGCACAGTGGCACATGCCTATAATCCCAGTGGCTCAGGAGGCTCAGGCAGGAGGATCACGAGTTCAAAGTCAGCCTCAGCAAAAGTGAGGCACTAAGCAACTCAGTGAGTACCTGACTTTAAATAAAATACAAAATAGGGCTTGGGGATGTGGCTCAGTGGTCGAGAGCCCCTGAGTTCAATCCCTCGTCCCCCTAAAAAAAAAAAAAAAAAAAAAAAAAAAACTGTCATTTCCTCTAGATTTCTGTTGTGGTAGTCAGTTGTGGATAAATTCAAAAGAAGTGACAGACATGAACTCCAGAGGTAAAGGGAGAACCATACATTCCCTCTTGGGATCCTCTTGGTAGTGGCTTGACTGCTTTGGTGACCAGTGCTGTTGTTTTAGGTTGGAATCCAGAGAACACTGATGCTCACGGTTCTGGGAATGAATACATTCCACGTACACAGGAGTCTCTCTTCCTTCTTCCAAGTACCTCCTTCTCCATCAAGTTTATTTATCCTTGTATGCAATGAAATATTCCTTTAATTTAAGACTCCTTCCTCTTACCAGCTCTTCAATGACATCAAGAACACACCCCTTTTCAGTCTTTTTACAGGAGAGGATACTGATGGTTGTTTCCATTTGCTAAGGATCTGTTCTTGGAAGGACACTTTATTTGCTGGTAATATACGCCCCCAAAATCAGACCTACTTTGTTACATGCTCCAGATCTTGGCTCCAAGTTAGTAAAATGATTCACTTAAATCAGGGTTACACACGGTGGATATGCACAATAAATTTGAGGTGTTGATGCCATTCAAAAGCATAGGTGCCTTTATGTCTACGTACCTTACATTTTCAGTCATCGATCTTTAATCATTCCTTCCAAATATGTACATAGAAATTGCAAATTCTTTTTTAGTAATCTTGCTGGGAATAGTCCCAATGGGTGATTTGTGTTTCATGTAACTAAAATTTCTTGGCTTAACCAATACATTTAACAGATAATTTGTGGATAAATTCCAAAGAAGTGACAGACATGAGCTCCAGAAGTAAAGGGAGAACCATACATTCCCTTCTTGGGATCCTCTTGGTAGTGGCTTGACTACTTTGGTGAGACAACTTAGATAAGTTGTCTCTCTTTGGGGAGACAACTTAGATCTTAGATAAGTTAGGGTACAGTTAGCTGACCTGCACATATGGGAGAAAGATGGTAGTTCTACTTCCTCTAGATAATGCCATGCAGGAACACAAATAAGATTCTTTCAAATCTATAAGGCTCACAGGAAATATACTGTGAGGCCCTGAGCCATTAACGACAGGGTTCAGCTTTCAAAGCCATAGCTATAGAGAGGACATTTTTGACATTAACTAGAATACGCATTCCACATGCTATTTATTCAGTAGCTAGCAGGGCCAAATGAAGCATTCCACATTTTTCAATCCAGGATGCAACTTCTTGTGAAAAAAGCCGAATTCCTTAAACAGAGCAAAGTCAACTGGTTGTTCAGCAATGTACAGTTGGACTAGGCTTAAAGGTTTTATTGTTTAACCAAAACATGAGAGGGATGGCTAGGGAACTGTGCTGATCCCCAGGATTTGATAACCTCACTCCACTCTTTCACATTCACGTTTTTTGCTCTCCTAATAACATCTCTTTAGAGAGTAAGACCCTGAATACCATGGATTCAAGTAATGCTGGAAGGCCTGTTTCACTGATTGTAAATATCACTCTGTAGCTTGAGGAGTCAAGCCCGGGAGTGAAAAAGTTAAAAGTGACACAGTGAAGGAAAAGGCAGAGAAATGTCAGTCCCAACAATACTGCCAGATGTTATCAATGAGAGCCAGTTCAGTAGTCAGGGATATTAGCTCAAAGCCTAATTACCATAACATAATGTTTAATTCCACTTACATAAAACTCAAGAAAATAAACTATAGTAGCAGAAAGCAGATTGCTAGGGTGGGAGAGAACAGGAGAAAGCCATCACCTAGGGACTCTCGGGAAAATTGGTAGGTAAAGAATATGTGAACCATTGGGGGAGTGGGTACTGGGATAGAACCCAGGTGCTCTAAGACTGAGCTACATTTCCAGCCTTTTTATTTTTTAATTTTGGGAAGGGTCTTGCTAGGTTGCCTAGGCTGGCCTGGAACTTTTGATCCTCCTGCCTCAGCCTATTGAGTCACTGGAATTATAGGCGTGTACCACCATGCCTGATCCTATATGCTATCTTGACTGTGGCAATGGTATCATAGGTATATCATGTCAAAGCTTATTAAACTGTATACATTCTGTACAGTTTAGCCAGGCACAGTGGCACACACCTACAACCCTAGAGACTCCGGAAGTTAAAGCACAAGGACCACAAGACAAGGTTAGCTTCAGCAACTTAGTGAGACCCCATCTCAAAAAAAAAAAAAAAAAAACAGTTGGGAATGTAGCTCAATGCAAAATGTCCCTGGGTTCAATCCACAGTAGCTTTGCCCCCCAAAGGTGCAGTTTATTGTCAATTATAGTTCAATAAAACCACATATATGTATACACTTAAAGCCTTATCATTAACAAAAATATATAGCTATATGTGTGTGTATATATATATATGTATGTACACATATATACATAAGTAAAAGACCAGCAGCTCTGTAGTTAAGAACAATCTAACTTAGGGGACCATGGAGGAGAAAAGCAAGCTTGCTTCTAGTTTACCATGAAGGAATGGCTTCCTTTTTTACCTTACTGAAGTGACATGAAAGGTGTGAAAAGCAGCATGAGGAGCTTTAGGGTGAACTAGAAGAATAAAGCCTGCAGAAAGCCACTTCCCTGCAGAGTCTATGGTACAGGGCAAGGGCTTGACCTTTCAACTCCATACCCAGCTGTCTATGAGGTACCAACTAAAGTTGCTTACTTAGCTGCTCTGACCAAATCATTTCAGAATTGGGAGGTAGTAAATGGAAGTAAAAACAAAGAAACACTGATTACATTTTAAAAATTTATTGTCTTTTTTTTTTTTTTTTTTGCAGTTGTTTTGTTGCTGTTCATTTGTTCTTGAGATGGCTACAACACCAGACAGAACAGTGCCCTCAAATCTAATGGCTGTGCAGGGCTGCACTCCTTTTAAACATTAAGATCTGTTTGGGCTCCCCACTTTGGCCCTTATCCCCACAAGAAGTCAGTTAGTTTCCACGCTTTTTAGTAAAATACAATTAGCCCTGTAAACACTTCTGCTTCTCCCACCCTATTTTTTTTCCTCATGTCTGTGGGTGAATAGTTTGCTAAGGAAAAAAAAAAAAAAGAAGAAAGAAAGAAAAACTAAATAAAATACACATTTATATCCTATCCCCCCCACCTCAATACCTCAATGTGGCTCTTCCCCCTCAAAGGCTGGATTCAGAGATTGAATAGGGTCAGGGTTGGGTTATACATAAATATGAATTTTGACCCTGGCTGGTCCTGAGTATCACTGACATGACCATGACATATAGAAGAATAGGCTTCTTGTCATAACAACTCAAGGCAGGAAGAACAGTTGGGGGAGGAATATTTCTATTCACGTGTGTTAAAGTTGGGAAGTGGAGGGGGAGTAGGAGAGGGAAAGAAGGTGAAACAATAGAAAATTCTCAGAGATGACCCTGACCCTTTACTTCCAACTGTAGCTATTTAAAATTCATTTGATTTCCCACATTTTCCCTAAGTGAATATTTTTGTTTCACATCAAGTCCTCACTTTTGTTTTTCTATGTGTACTGCACTTAGCGTGTTGTATCTGTGTATACCATTTGCTTATCAGGCGAATGTTTCAGTACTGGTTTCAGTTTAGCTTTCCTTTTTATTTCCTTGAAATTGTTTTTCCTTTTAGAAACAAGTTCACCAGGAAACCAGCTCCCCTCCCACCACGCCGGACAGGCTGCAGCCATCTTTTTTAAACCGCGCTGATTTTCCCTCACACCCCCAAACAGGAACTCCTCAGGACGCCTGGGAAGGCTGGAGTCTCTCCCTGTCTGGGTTGGACACCCTGGGGGCAGTGAAGGCCCCTCTGCCGCGTCGGAGGTTTCTGATTGTGGGACACAGTCTGGGTTTTGTTTTCTTCCTGTCTTCTAATTAAAAAAGACATTCCTGACAAGAAGAAAGAAGACAGTCAATAACTGTGCCCAAGAAGCTAGTGAGCATTTTATAAAAGAAATCTCAAGGCAGAGGTTTCTATAATTGCTCAGGCATCACATTCTGTATTCTGTCATGATACCTGTTAAGGAAAAAAGCAGCAACAACAATACAAAGCAGCAACAACAATAAAAAGTTAAATTTTTAAAAATCTATGATCTTAAGGGAACTTACTTTAATGAAATGCTGCTTGAGTGCATCTCCAATGCTGACTGGACTGTGGAAACAGGGATGTGTGGGTGGCATCAGGAAAAAGCCAAATGACGGGCCCAGGCCTTCCATTTCAAACCAACCAAAAAAGCTCCACTTTATTAAATAAAGACGTTTCATTACGATTTACTTTCTAAGAAGGCTTTGCCTATTAACAAAAGCTTTTAAACCACTGATTTAGACTCTATGGAAGGAGTATGTATAGTGTATTCGGATGTCATTTTTACTTGAATAACAAGTAGTTATTATAGAGGTGTTAAATGAAATTGTTAAAAAGTGAGGACACCGACACCAGAATGTCAACACTTGAATTACGGCTCCATCAGTTACTAACTGACACAATTAGGCAAACTGTTAAACATCTCTGAACTTGAGATCCTCATATGTAAAATGAGAATAGTAGTAACTAACCTAGAGGATTGAATGAGGATTTCTTAGTTAATACATAAAGATATAATACATAATATATAAAGAATGCATAGTAGTATGAGATACCTAGAAAGTGCTCAATAAATGCAGCTATGAACATCTATAGCTGTCCATGAACAACACTTTGAGGTGCATCACTGTTATTAGAAACACATGTAAAACTCAATGATCCCAGATTATATTACTCATTAAAAAAAACAAAGTTTAAAATAAATTTTGATGTGGCAAGTCACTGCTGAATGTCACTTTGAGTTATTAATGCATTTACCACAAAAACTACAGATCAGGGCCCCAGATTCAGAGAGAATTGCCTTCTAGGAGAATAAACTCTCCTTAATATGTCAAAGGGGCTTAATATGTCAAAGGGTGCCCATTGTGGTGACACACCCCTGTAATCCCAGTGGCTTGGGAGGCTTAGACAGGAGAATCATGAGTTCAAAACCAGTCTAAGCACTAGCACTTACTGTGAGGCACTAAGCAACTCAGTGAGACCCTGTCTCTAAATAAAATATGAAATAGGTCTGGGGATGTGGCTCAGTAGTTGAGTACCCCTGATTTCAATCCTCAGTACCAAAAAAACAAAGAAACAAAAAACCTAGCACCCAAATTCTACTACCAAGATTTTCCTCAGCTAAGCTTTTTGCTTTGCTTTGTAATAAGCAGACAGGAAACAGGAGGAGAAAAACAATGGCCAAAGCGGCTACTTCTTTCCTGTACCACCCGCTGGTCAAGGCACAGCATTTCAGTATTAAAAAAAACAAAAGGCAGTAAGAACAAGCTCCATGCTCATCATATCTGGAAGGTCAGTCCTAGGAGGATGGTGTCATGTTATCAAAGTCAACTTCTGGCCAGCACTGTTTCCATCAGTAGCCAGGTTAAAGGTAAAGATACTTATTTGTTACCATACTCATTATAGTAGTTATTTTGTTATTCAAGTAAAAATGACATCCGAATACACTAGAATTATATGGCTGCCATAGCTCAAAAAATGAGGGCCCTGTATTCCCCAGTTGTGTGGCACAGTTAAACTCTTTAAGTCTTTTTCTTAGTCTAGCTACATGACTGGTCCCATGATGGGCATTAAACTTCTCCCCATCCCCAAACCTCCTGAAAGCTCAGGAAAAGGTGGAAGCACATACTACTCACCTGGGTGACAGGCACAGTGCAGGAGTGTGAGCTATCGAAACAATCTGGTGAAGTCTCGCAAGGCCCAGCAAACTTGCTTACATTCCTCAGCACTAGAAGAGAAAAGGCAGGTGGTCCTTGACTGAGGAGAGAGACATATTCTATAAAGAACTAACCATGACACTGAGGCACACTGAGGATGGTCCCAACTCTTTGAGGAGTGTCCACTGTCTCTTGATTCTGCTTCAGATCTTTTTGTAATCCAAGGTAAAAACAGACTATTATAAATGAGAACAATGATAAACTTGGCGGTCCTTGAAGAGCAGACTTTGGAGACAAATTGCCTGAGGTTGAATCTTGGCCATGCTGTATCCTTGGGCGAGTTACCAATCTTTGCCTCAGTCTCCTCATCTGTTATCTACCTCATGCTGTCCAGAGAATTCGATTTGTTCATATAGGTAAAATGCTTATTTTAACAGCATGGTGAAGAAAGCAGCATTCAAAAAACACCAGCTGCCACATCAACACTTTGCTGAAGTCCCTGACACATATACAAGAAATTTAGAACCCCCAAAATAAAACAGCAAGCATGTTCACTTAAGGCTCTGGTCACTGAACTTTGAACCACACTACAACAGAGTTAGATACCCTGATTTATTCATTCTCTCCCAAAGGCAGATTATTTTTACAAAGACCAGTCCAGCAACTAAGTCTCTATCAGTTATAGATTTTCTAATTAACAGGCCACTCAGAGTCTCTTCCTATGGGGGGAGGAGGAGGGAAGAGGAAGGAGTTTAAGGTGTGTAGAAAGGGAGAAAGAGGGAGCAGAACTTGGTCTTCAGGCAAACACTGGAGGACAAACAGTAAGAAGAGTCCAATATTCACCTGCTTTTTTTCAAAAGGTTCCCTTTATCCAAAGCAGTCACCAGGAAACCCACTGATGCCAGCTTTATTCTTTTGTGTCATGTCTTCATAAGTTTTTGCTAACTGAATCTCGGGCTAAGTTAAAACAGTGAAAAAGGCAGCACTTTCTAACATGCCTACCCTTCTGTGGAGCGCTTTCCCTTCTGAAAACTCAGGAATCAGGGTCTATGCCTAGGATTCAATTCTCTCTTATAATGGCTGAACACCAGAGGAAGGAACTGCTAACAGTAACCCAACAGAGAAGAAGATGAAATCTGAGTAATTTCTTTGAGTATCTACATCTAGATTTTCCTACCCATTGTAAGGTTGGTCTGAAACATTAACCCATTCAGTCCCAAGTTTTCAATTCTATATAGAACAGTGGGACATAATGAATTAAGAACCTTGATTTAGACATGATCCAACATAATATTCTAGAGACTTTCCTGTAGTCTCTCTCCATCCTAAGAATGTAATGAAAATGAGAAAGGTCTTCTGGTTTTATTGGCAATCTGCCACTTCCTTTTTGTGGGTTTAATAAAGTTCAATAAAAACATTGTACTTCCCAGTCTATGTCATTCATGCTCCCAATGTCAGGAGAGAGGAAGACCCAAGTGAGGCTGCTGTGTGATGTGCTATGACGAGGGCTAAGGCAATAAGAAACCCTGACAGCTGAAGACTCAGGATTCTTTAACTGTCCTGATGTCCTACATGTTTAAGAAATTTAATCCCTTTCAACCCAAGATCTTGGTTTAATCTCAAAGAGAAATAACTCCATCATTCGCTTTTTTTTTTTTTAAACCAGGGATTGAACCCAGAGGTGCTTAACCACTGAGCCATACTCCACCCAAGTCCTTATATTTTATTTTGAGAGTCTCATTAAATTGCTGAGGCTGGCCTTGAACTTGTGATCCTCCTGCTTCAGTTGCTGGGATTACAGGTATGTGTCATCATGCCCGGCTTCTTGTTAGCCTCTTTTGTGGTACATGAGAAAGGGTATTGAAACCAAAAATACAAGTACAGGAGAACTGTGATAAACAAAGCAAAATGAGGGGTGAGTCACAGTGTTTTAAATCGGCTCCATTTCTGCTCCTGACCCTATCAATGATTGTATGGGTGTCAAGAGCTTTAGCCAAATGTTGAACTTACAGAGCCCTTGGTGAATAAACCCACAGAAATGGATCAAAATTCTCCTGGAATGCTAGCACTATTTTTTGGTTCCTGCCTCAGTCCTTCTGACATTTGTTAGTTCATGGTTTCTAATCATATTTATTTTTTGAACTGCCTTTATTTTTCTAGGTTCTGTTTTTTGCTAGTCCACAATTCCAATCATTCTACCATACTTCTGAATACTTTCATAGTCACTATTTCTTAAGCCTCGTCACTCTAGGGGTGTACTGAGAAATGCAACCCTTTTGATCTGATGCCCTGGTATGGAGAATAACCAAGCTCTCACTGATGACCTGACCAGGGAGACACCTCCTACTGGCCTCTAGTTCCAATGTCAATTCTTTCCATGTTCAACATCTTTTAGCTTAAAGACCTATATGTAAATGGTACTGTCACAATAAGATAAAGAAAGGAAAATGATGGCATGATTTTTTCTGTTCCAATTACTCTTTGACAGAGATAGGGTCATCTGGTGTTTGGAAAGCAAGAACGATATTCTAGAATGAAAGGTCCCAGCTTTCTTCACATTGACCAACTTAAAATGCCAGGGAAGTAATTGCCAGTACCATTTGAAAAGCAGGCTTGGACTTGCTGAAATGAAACTGAACCAGTTCACCCTCCCTGTTAAGATGGCAAACAAAGCAGCATGTTGAGGAAGGACTTACAGGACCTTAAAACCAAAAGGGAGACCGAGTCATGCAGAGGTTCAAGGGCAACAGGCATACCAGAGAAAGAGAGGACGTGAGCCATTTCAAACCCTCTTTCTTATACCTTAACATTACCTCTTACTTCTGTTCATTTCCCACCATTATGTCACAGTCTACTACAGCAGGAGCTGTAAAACTTGTTTTACAATGAAAGATCAGGTAGACAACCTAGGTAGTGTACTTTATTTTCCCATATCACAGGACCAAGATTACAGATATTTTTTTGTTTACAGTCTTGTTTTAGGTACTTTTCCTTGCCCCTTTCCTTAAACAAGGGAATAATATCCACGACCTTGATTTCCAACTTAAACTATTGCTCTATCTGTCATATACTAACCCTGTCAAGAGAATTTGGGTTTGGTGGAGACTTATTCCATAATGTGTGGGTGGCTGCCTTAGAGCTGGCAAGAGACACGCCTCAGCTAGTCTTGCAAGTATACAACGGCATTTTGGCAGATTCTTTTTTAAGAAGAAAGGAGTTAAAAGTCACTAATCACCTACTATGTGCAAGCTCTTCTTTAGATTTCCATTTGCTATTTCACAATAACCTTATGTGCTAGGTAGTACTAACCCTGTACTACAGAATTAACTAAAGTTTCAAGTAACAGGGTAGTGAGGCAAGATTCAAAATAACGTATTTGACTCTTCAGCTCAATCCTTTGAGGCTTTTCCCTCCTAGGCTCTCATTTGCTTAGAAATTAGAGCCAATATGATTGTGCCCTTCTACTGACCAGCACTACATGGAATAAAGCAAAACAGAAGCAGAGAGAAGCATCTGTTATACTACTTTCATCTGCAACAGCTTATAGGTAGAGTATTACTTTAACTGGGAAGACTCATAGTTAAAAAAGAAACCAAATAATTGTGTAAGGTCATCCCAGTCAATATATGTCTACCTGGTGGAGGGAAAATCCCCACTCTAGCAAAATGTGTCACAAAGGTTGTCATGTTATTTTTCAGTCATGCATGTCACTTGATCTATAGTTAAATATCACTCACTTCTAGGGCATGAAGTTAAGCCACTTAATAAGCTACAAATAATAATAATGTTAAAATCCCAAAGCTACTCCATGGTTTGGGATTTTAACATTAACAAAAATTTGGGGTATACAAAAGGAAAAAAAAGGAAATTGTTTTTAAAATGACATTAAGAAATCAATTCTCAGGCTGCGGTTGTGGCTCAGCAATAGAGTGCTTGCCTAGCAATGCGGCGCCCTGGGTTCGATCCTCGGCAACACATGAAAATAAATCAGTAAAAGGTATTGTGTACAACCACAATGAAAAAATAAAAAAATATTTAAAAAGAAAGAAATAAATTCTCAGACCAAGGGTGTAGCTCAGTGGCTACACCCTTGCTTAGCATGTATGTATAAGGCCCTGGGTTCAATACCTAGCACCTAGCACCACACACACACACACACACACACACACACACACACACAAAAAAAAAAAAAAAAAAACACCTCCCTCCCCTTCCATCCTGGTCCTATGTATAATTTTCCAGAAATTTACTATACATGAGGTAGCATATATATACAAACACATATACATACAGACATATAGTACAATAAAAAACTACAAAAAAATTGATGAAAGACATTAGCCAGGCATTACACACTTGTAATCCCAACAACTCAGGAGGCTTAAGCAAGAGGCTCACAAGTTTCAGACCAGCCTCAGCAATTTGGCAAGATCCAGTCTCAAAATAAATATATAAATAGGACTGAGGGGTATAGCCAGTGATAAATCACCCTGGGTTCAATCCCTAGTAAGAAATAAATAGATAGATAGATAGTCAGTCAGTCAGTCAGTCAGTCTGGGGACACTAGAGATCAACATGAAAAAGGAAAAAAACTGGGTCACTACCAAACATCACATACAAAAACTAAGTCATAACAAGACCTAAAGTTATAACTCTTAGCACAAAATCTAGGGGGAAAACTTCATGACATTTTATTTGTCAATGACTCTTGGATATGACAACAAAAGTACAGGCATAGTGGTGCACACCTGTAATCCCAGTGGCTTGGAAGGCTGAGGCAGGAAGATCACCAGTTCAAAGCCAGCCTCAGCAAAAAACTAGATGCTAATAAGCAACTCAGACCCTGTCTCTAAACAAAATACAAAATAGGGCTAGGAATGTGGCTCAGTGGTTGAATGCCCGAGTTCAATCCCCAGCACCTGATCCCCCAAACTTAAAACTTCTGTGCATCAAAGGACACAATCAGCAAGATGCAAAGGCAGACTATAGAATGGGAGAAAATGTTGTATGCAAATCTGATATACCTGATAAGGAGTTAATGTCCCAAATATATATAAGGAACTTCTTCTAC